TTTCCTGCATTGTCTGTCTGGAGTATCCTGTTTGTTTTCATGTTGTTATCAAGGAATAGGTCAGAGAAGGACAAATGGTTAGCCAGCATTTTTGAATTACAACATTGGCTTTCTTTAATTAAAAAAAAAAAAAAAAAAAAAAAAAAAAAAAAAAAAGGCCTGCTGGGCATGGTGGCTCATGCATGTAATCCCAGCACTTTGGGAGGCCGAGGCAAGTGGATCACTTGAGCACATGAGTTCAAGACACCTGGGCAACATGGTGAAACTCTGTCTCTACAAAAAATAAAAAGTTAGCTGGGCATGGTGGCCTGTACCTGTAGTCCCAGCTACTCGGGAGGCTGAGGCAGGAGAATCGCTTGAAACTGGGAGGTGGAGGTTGCAGAGAGCCAAGGTCATGCCATTGCATTCTAGCCTGGGCAACCGGTGAAACCCTGTCTCAAAAAAAAATAAATTTTTTAAAGGCCTAAAAGTTCTAAATTGGATATAGATTTTTCCTAAAAGGTTGTTTGTACTTCTGTGGCCTATAGTTTCCTCTAAGCATGAAAGTGAATAATATAACACAGAGAACGCTAGCATGGTTAGTTTTAGTTCTCCTTTGGGCTATTGGAAAAAAATCTTTTACTCTGTGAACTTTAAAATTCTTATGTGTGCCTGTTTTTTCATGTTAATGCTAATAGTGCCCTTTTTTCCATTCTCAGAAGTCTCCGTGGATGAACTTGGATGATAAATAGTCACTCCAATTATTTTTTTTTTAATATTTGAATTTTTATAGTGAGTATTTTTTTGTTTCTGTTTTTATTTTTAATCAGAAAAAGAAATTGTGAGGTGGACAGGAGGATCGCTTGAGCCCAGGAATTTGAGACCATCGCGAGCTATGATTGCGCCACTGCACTCTAGCCTGGGCAATAGAGCAAGACACTGTCTCTATTAAAGAAAAAAGAAAAGGAAAAAAAAAGCTACAGAAATTCTCATGATCTTTGATGAACTATTGTTCCATTGTTTAAAATTAAATGCCAACCAGATTAAGAATCTTTGCTACCTTAGGCTAGACAAAGACTTTTTTTTTTTTTGAGACAGAGTCTCTCTCTATCACCAGACTGGAGTATAGTGGCATGATCCCGGCTCACTGCAACTTCCGTTTTCTGGTTTTAAGCAATTCTCCTGCCTCAGCTTCCCTAGTACCTGGGATCACAGGCACGTATCGCCACGCCCGGCTAATTTTTTGTATTTTTAGTAGAGACGGGGTTTCACCATGTTGGCCAGGATGGTCTCGATCTCTTGACCTTGTCATTTACCCGCCTCTGCCTCCCAGAGTGCTGGGATTACAGGTGTGAGCCACTATGCCCGGCCAAGACAAAGATTTTTTTGATGGGGACACTAAAATAATGAACCACAAAATAAACAGTTGATAAATTACTTATTATCATAATTTAAAACTTACTCTGAAAGACACAGTTAAAATGAAGAAGCAAGCTACAGACTGAAGGAAAATATTAGCAATATGTATATCTGACAAGGACTTGTTTTCAGAAAATATAAAGAACTCTTGGCCTGGTATGGTGGCTCATGCCTGTAATTTCACCACTTTGGGAGGCCAAGGCAGGTACGGATCACTTGAGGTCAGGAGTTTAAGACCAGCCTGGCCAGTATGGTGAAACTCTGTCTCTACTAAAAATCCAAAAAAAAAAAAAAAAAGTAGCCAGATGTGGTGGCGTGCACCTGAAATCCCAGCTACTTGGGAGGCTGAGGCACAAGAATTGCTTGAGGGCCGGGCGAGGAGGCTCACGCCTGTAATCCCAGCACTTTGGGAGGCCGAGGTGGATGGATCACGAGGTCAAGAGATCGAGACCATCCTGGCCAGCACGGTGAAACCCCGTCTCTACTAAAAATAGAAAAAAATTTTAGCTGGGCGTGGTATCACATGCCTGCGGTCCCAGCTACTCGGGAGGCTGAGGCAGAAGAATCGCTTGAACCCAGGAGGCGGAGGTTGCAGTGAGCCGAGATTATTGCGCCACTGCACCCCAGCCTGGCGACAGGGCAAGACTCCGTCTCAAAAAAAAACAAAAAAAAAAAACAACAACAAAGAATTGCTTGAACCTGGGAGGTGGAGGTTGCAGTGAGTCGAGATGGCACCACTGCATTTCAGCCTGCATGTCTCAAAAAAACCTCTTATAGTTCAATAATAAAGACAGCACAACTAAAAGATGGATTGGCAGTGGCTCATACCTGTAATTCCTGCACTTTGGGAGGCCAAGGTGGGCGATAACCTGAGGTTGGGAGTTTGAGACCAGTCTGACCAACATAGAGAAATCCCCTTTCAACTAAAAATCCAAAAAGGTAGCCCGGCGTGGTGGCACATGCCTGTAATCCCAGCTGCCTAGGAGGCTGAGGCAGGAGAATAGCTTGAACCCAGGAGGCCAAGGTGAGCTGCACACCATTGTACTCCAGCCTGGGCAACAAGAGTGAAACTGTATCTCAAAAAAAAAAAAAAAAAAAAAAAAAAAGAATGAACTCAGAAAATAATATGAATGGCCAGTAAGCACATGAAAAGATAGTCATTAAGGAGATGCAACTACAATGAGATGCCATTATACGTTCATTAGAATGGCTACAAATAGTGACAATACCAAGTGTTGGTTGAGGATATGAAGCAGTTGGAATTCTTTTTTTTTTTTTTTTTTTTTTGAGACGGAGTTTCACTCTTGTTGCCCAGGCTGGAGTGCAATGGCACGATCTCGGCTCACCGCAACCTCCGCCTCCTGGGTTCAGGCAATTCTCCTGCCTCAGCCTCCTCAGTAGCTGGGATTACAGGCATGCGCCACCATGCCCAGCTAATGTTTTGTATTTTTAGTAGAGACGGGGTTTCACCATGTTGACCAGGATGGTCTCGATCTCTTGACCTCGTGATCCACCCGCCTCAGCCTCCCAAAGTGCTGGGATTACAGGCTTGAGCCACCGCGCCCGGCAGCAGTTGGAATTCTATACACTGCTGATAGGAGTGTAAAACGGTACAAACACCTGGAAAACTATTTGGCAGTTTTTAATAAACTGTAGCTACCATATGACCCAACAGTTTCACTGGTGTTTACCCAGGAGAAATGAAAATATATGCCCATAGAAAGACTTGTACATGAATGTTTACAGCAGATTTCTGTATTATACCCCAAAACTGAAAACAACCCAGATGTCCATCAACTGGTGAATGGATAAACAAAAATGTAGTACTGCTTAGTTATAAAAAGAGATGAATTACTGGTGCATACCCAACATGGTTGAATGTCAACAATATGCTAAGTTAAAAGATCTAGGCACAACTGGGCATGGTGGCATATTCCTATAATGCCGGTACTTTGGGAGGGTCACTGAGCCCAGGAGTTTGAGGTTACAGTGAGCTATGATCACACTACTGTATTCCAGGCTGGGCCAAAAAGGGACACCCGTTTCTTAAAAGAAAAAAAAAATTTTTTTAAAAAAGGCCAGATACAGTGGCTCATGCCTGTAATCTCTGCACTTTGGGAGGCCGAAGCAGGAGGATTGCCTGAAGCCAGGAGTTAGAGGCTACAGTGAGCTGTGTCATGCCACTACACTCCAGCCTGGGCAATAGAGCAAGACTGTCTCAGTCAGTCAATAAAAAGATATCCAGGCACAAAAGACTACATTTTTTTCCCCCATACAGATTCGATCTTACTTTGTTGCCCAGGCTGGTCTCAAATTCCTGGCCTCAAGCAATCATCCTGTCTCGACCTCCCAAATTGCTAGGATTATAGGCATAAGCTACTGGCCCACACCAAAATAATACATTTTATATGATTCCATTTATATGAAATTCTAAAAGTGCAAATAAACTACCTATGGTGACAGAAAGCAGATCAGTGTTAGTTGGGAATAGTATAGTGGGGAAGATTGAAAAGAGGCACAAAGGATTGGGCACAGTGGCTAATGCCTGTAATCCCAGCACTTTAGGCGGCTGAGGCGGGCAGATCATGAGGTCCAGCCTGGTGATGGAACGAGACTTCCTCTCAAAAAAAAAAAAAAAAAAAAAATGCTAACTAACCAAGGCCAGGTGAGGTACCTCACATTTGAAATCCTAGCACTTTGGGGGCTGAGGCAGACAGACTGCCTGATCTTCGGAGTTCGAGACCAGCCTGGATAACATGGTGAAACCCCATCTCTGCTAAAATACAAAAAATTAGCCAGACATGGTGGCATGCACCTGTAGTCCCAGCTACTTGGGTGGCTGAGGTAGGAGAATTGCTTGAACCCAGGAGGTGGAGGTTGCAATAAGCCAAGATCGTGCCACTGCACTCCAACCTGGGTGACAGTGAGACTCCATCTCCAAAAAAAAAAAAATAAGCTAACTGGATAATATTCTTTCACAGGTCTTCCTGTTTTAAAACTTTCTAACCTGTATCTGAGGATTTAGTTTATTTCCTGGTTTGTATCTTTATTCTGACTTGTTTTCTTGCTATTATATCTAGAAAATGTGTCGGCTCTTGGGCAAATATGGTATTGATTTCATGGCATACAAAGCAAATTGACTTCCAGTATGAATCTTTCATAGCTATAAGAACTTTATGGCTGGGCACAATGGCTCATACTTGTAATCCCAGCACTTTGGGAGGCTGAGGCGGGATTGCCTGAGGTCAAGAGTTCCAGAACAATCTGGCCAACATGGTGAAACCCCATCTCTACTAAAAATACAAAAATATTAGCTGGGCTTGGTGGCATTCACCTGTAATCCCAGCTTCAGAGGTTGAGGCAGGGGAGTCGCTTGAACCAGCGGGGTGGAGGTTGCATTGAGCTGAGATCGCACCACTGTACTCCAGTCTGGGCAACAGAGCGAGACTCCATCTCAAAAAAAAACCTTCATGTGTGTATATATTGCAGAAAATCCTTTGACAGACACTTAAATGTAGGGGGAAAAACACCTCTACTTGAGTATTTGGGTTAGTTAAGGCTTTATTGAACTGTCTTGGGTATGTTTTTTTCTTATTTTTCAGTGGCCCGAACTTGTAACTTGATCCTGATTGTTTTGGATGTCCTGAAACCCTTGGGACATAAGAAGATAATTGAAAATGAACTGGAAGGCTTTGGCATTCGCTTGAACAGCAAACCCCCCAACATTGGCTTTAAGAAGAAGGACAAGGGAGGCATTAATCTCACAGCTACTGTGAGTGGGGAAGACTACATGGGCAGGCTGCTGCAGGAATTAGAGTTGGGAGTGATGTGCATGGACATTGATGTTGGAAAATTTCCTGACTTTTCCCTGTACTAGTTGAGATAACACAAATGACTTTATAATGATTGACATGAAAGACTTTAAGACTAGGATAGGAGCCAGTCTCAGACTTACCTTTGCCACTTATTTCCTCTTTTCAGTTATCTATTGGGGATAATATGGGAGTGTGGACCAGTTTTATGCTTGCATAAGGTAGATGACCACCAATATCTTTTGTTTTCATTCATTTAACACAATTTATAGAGTGCCTGTCATGGGCCAAGCATTATTTTAGGCTCTGGGCAGGAATGGAAGAGGGAACAGCAAAAATTCCTCTTTTGTATCCTAATTGGATAGAATGCAAGCAGTATGAATCAGTAAAATATAATGGATTAGTCAATGACAAATGTGAGAACAAAAATAAAGTAGGGAAAGGAGATAGAATGTTGGTGTGAGGGTTGCAGTTTTAAGAAGGTTGGTCGGGGAAGTCTTCACTGAGGTGACATAAAGGTGTGAACCAAGTGGGTATCTTGAAGAACATCTGCTTCATGCAGAAGGAACATCCAAGTGGAAAGGTGCTGAGGCAGAGCATATCTTTCCATGTTTGAGGAACAACAGAATGGGCAAGTAAGAGAGTAGTAAAGATAAAAGCATAGCGTAGGGACACATGTGCTTTTACTTTACAGGAGATGGGTAACTGTTGGTTGGATTCTGTCCCACAACTAAACATGATTTGACTTAGGTTTTTCTTTTTTTTTTTTTAAAAAAAAAAAGATGGAGTCTTACTGTGTCGCCCAGGCTGGAGTGCAGTGGTACAAATCTTGGCCCACTGCAACCTCTGCCTCCTGGGTTCAAGCGATTCTCCTGCCTCATCGTCCTCAGTAGCTGGGATTACAGGCGTGTGCCACCACACCCAGCTAATTTTTGTATTTCTAGTAGAGATGGGATTTCACCATGTTGATTAGATTGGTCTCAAACTGACCTCAAGTGATCTGCCTGCCTCAGCCTCCCAAAGTGCTAGGAT